GTTTCTAGTTATTGTACTTTTCAAAGAACAACATCCGAAGTGGGGACTGACAAAATATGCAGAAATTATTCCTGAATTTTTCAGTCACATCAGTCGTCACTAGTTTTCAATGCTTGTCTCACGTCTTTCTGAATTTACCACCTTTTTTTTAATAGGCGTCCTGTAGTAATGGGTGCTCTACTATCTTGTCACTGTGCCACACTAGGTTATATATCATGGACATTAGTCATATCGTAAATTAACCTCAAAACCATTTCTAATGAGTTGGTTCCTTACTGGGAGCCCCACAATCGGTTATGGACGGATGATCTTTAATGCGTTTGAATGAAAAACACTTCAAGTCATTTGATAGAAAACTAAGGTCGCAATTTAATCGACATGATTAATTGCTTAATTAATTTTTTAATTAAATGAGCTGATTATCTGGCTAATTACCTTAGTTTGCTTGTCGTTAATTTTCCTTTTATCGTTTCTCTTCAGTTCTGCTCATTAACAAATGCAATCAACTATTCCTGCCAGTCGGGTAAATTTAAAAAAAATTTCTCTCCCTGATTTGAATGGGAACAGATTTTTCGACATCGTAGATAACGAATTGATTGGCAGTCGAGATCATAGTTATTGTAAACTTTATGATCATTTCGTTAATATATGCTTTGCCAACGTTATATAAGGTTTTGAATCCAGAGTCGTCCTTCTAGACTCGTTACTAACCAAGACTATAGAGCAGAGTCTACCCTATTACTTAACATAGTTGTTTGATACATCCATACCTTTCCCAAAAGTATTGGCGCGAAAGTGAATGTAAGAAAATTCAACTGGAATTCGAACTCTGCTCTCCGATTTCGCCATTCGATTAGTTATTCACATATTTTCTATGAAATTTCTCATACATTCAGGCCGGTAAATATTGCTAATACTATTTATTATAAACAGAACATTTACTTAAATATTTGTATTTATAAAAATAACGTATAAACAATAAATATATTAAAATAATTGTTGGAATTAGTCCATTTCATAATGTATAATGTGCGCAAAAGACGTATTATATTGACTAAACAAACCTATCATTATTAAATATATCAACTCCTTAAATGGTCAAACTGTTTGGCCCTCGTCTTTACCTGCAAAATAGTTATTATTTAAAAAATAAAAATTTTGTATGTATATAACTGGTCACTCGTATTCGACGATACCCGTCAAATAGGGCAGCTAGTCAATCCCTAGTTGCAGACTCTTGCTCAGACGCATTTGTGTTTATTCAGCACCCACAGGGCCCACCTGTGGTTTATACTGCAACTATGCTGAGCAAACCTTAGTTCAGTTTCTCGGAAAGAGCATGTTATCTAGCGTGATTTGAACAAGGCCAGCACGCTTAAGCTCTCAGTCTCGATGACTTGTGACTTCGTGCTAGCACAGCTATCGCCGTCACCCAAGGGTTCTGTCTACCCAATTTCACGCACAAGGCGTGGATCAACCCGTGGTAGGGTTTTCAGGCACTTTCCAGAGGTGTCGCACGCTGGGATCGACCCCTCCAGTCTCATGGTCGGATTTGGTCCTAGGGTCGCTGTGCACCTGACCAAATCCCTTCACATATCTGGGTTGAAATCCGGAGTTGTATCCATGTAGGGGTAGCATGACTTTGGGAAATATACCTGGCGGATTCCATCCCTCTCCAGATCAATTCATTCAGCTTGAAGGCTCGTCTTGGTCACAGATACATGGCCTTTAATCCCATTGGGTGAACCCGCCGCTCTGGCCGTTGACTTCACTCTAGGAAGCTCGTTTCTTAAATCCGTACAAGCATTAAATAAACAAAGGTAAGCCCTTCCTTCATACACTTGAGAAAATTCAGTATTATATCGTTACGTCATTACTGGTTGAGCCTTATTGTACTCTGTACTTTTTCGCTACAAATGGTGACCCCTAAAATATTGTAGTTCATTCGACTTAAGTTTTTATTCGGATATTTTATCTATTAGAATCTTGATAGTCCACCTCATGAATGTAAACATAAACACTCATAAAATATTTCATAAATTCCTTTCAGCATTGAATATCTCTGATTATTCACTGTTTCTTAATGTCATTGTTTTAAAAATATAAAAGTCAATTTTATACATGAGACTCTATTTAGTTGAGCTGATGACTGGCTCAAGATCATGAGAAATGGCTACTCATAGCCTTTACCTGTGTACCTTTAAATTTTTATTTTATAAAGGAATTGTGATTTTAAAAAAAAATAAAAACTCGGGCAACACCGGATAATCCTGCTGGTAAGATAAAGATTTGAGCTTTTTCATGCTAATGTAAATTTGTTTATGATGCCCGTCGTGTTAGCAACAATAACACTGTCGGTAAAATAGCCTGTGTACTTCGCGGCAAGAAAGAGACTTTGAAAAACCTTCTGTGGGAATATTTACATTAATTGATAAAAACATGTTTTGCCAAGACATTTCAACCACCATTTGCTTTGTCTTAGACATAAAAAGATAAACTCGTTTCCACACACACGCACACACTTGTTCTCTAAGAATATATATATATATATATATATATATATAATATAGAGAGAGAGATACACACACTTTATTTTATATCGAGCACTGTTTTATTGCCACCAGCACTAATATATATATATATATAATGGACAGTAATCACACTTTAATACATGTTTTGTTAAACAAGACTGGCAAGGTACATCTGTTTATTTTTTTTTTTTTATTGTTTTTTCTTCCTCTGCGTACAAGTACCTTCTTTTCTAGACTTTATATAAAAATCGTCCAAAGATTTGTTGATAATGAGCGCTTTGGTTAAACTGTTACACATTTTTAAACATTAGTATTTTTTGTATACTACTGTAATAAATGGTGTGTAATTGATATTGTATAAAATTTGCTGAAATTAGATATATTATTAATTTCCAATTCGACCAGTACATAGTGTCCAGCTTCATAATGTTATTACGGTTTTTTTTTCTTTCAGATAAAGGCTTCCATCACTTTTAAAGGATTTTTACGGTGATAGGTATCACATTCGTGTTCAGTACGGTTAAGTTGCATATGGACTGTGGTGCGATTCTATGCTCGTTTAAATGCGTCCGTATTGAGCTCTGGTCGGAGAGATATAGCGTCACTCGTCTTGATAGATGAGCGATAGACTTTATATATAATCAAGGAGGCACGGTGGATAGCGGCTCGGATTGGGGAATCAGAGAGCCGAGTTCGAATTCAAATCGAATCCATCACATTCACTTACATGCTAATACCCTTGGGAAAGGTATTAATACTCTTCTTCTCCCTCCAGTTATGGGCAAATAGCAGGACAGACTGGGTTTTATATCCTTGGATGGCAACTGGTCTAGGAGAAGGACAACTCTGAATTCAAAACCTGCGGAGTGGGGGGGGGCACCTTGCGACACGTAGTGCACCAGGTCTCTCTATTCGGCCCTTTAAAAAGTGCGGTTTGGGCTACACAAAGGCTTCACCACTATAATGAAATCATATGTGCGGGTGCCTGGCTGTCGTTTCCTAGGAACTGAGCTGCTTGACCCTCATGCGTCGAATACGACGGGAGAGTCCGCTATATATATATATATATATATATATATATATATATATATATATATTAGAATTTTAATTTAGGCGCATCTATACCCTAAGTTTTAATCTCAAAATTATTGGATACATTTTAAAAGTCTCAGTATTATCTATTTACAGCCATGTCCTCTTTTTGGTTACAATGTTTAACGTTTTGGTTTTTCTGCTCTCCGACATTCTTCGGGTTCCTGTTTTATTCATTAATCGAGTGTCAATTTAGAATTTATTCAATCTACAGACATACAAATATTTTAGTTCTCTATCTATACATAATAATATACCTTTCTTCTATGTGCCGTGTCCATTCAGAACGTTGGCGTCATGTCTCTCCACAATTTCCTGTTCTTTGTAGTTCAATAAATTTGATCATTTTGTTATCTCTTCTTCCGCCATCCATTTACTTAAACTCGCTAAGTAAGTGATGCGTTGTTTTCTTCTGATCCTATTGCCTTCAATGTGTCCTGTGAGTATCAAATTTTCTAAGCCTTCTTTCCTTATGTGCCCCAGAAATTTGAACTCTCTCTTTCCGAGATTAAGTATGACTATCCATTTTGTTTCAATTTTCTCTAAAACTTTGTCGTTTCTCACATGTTTCGCCAATGGTATTCTCAGCATCCTTCTAGAGAGCCATATTTCTGTTTAAGTCTCTCCTTCATCTTCGGAGAGATTGTCCAGCATTTACTGCCATAAAGGAGCTGATATTACATAACTACATAAGTTCTTTTTTTCTTGGTTTTTAACGGAATTTTCCTGTTTCTTAATATGAGGCCTGTTTGTTCTTCTGATCTAATTTCTCCTGATGACGCTAGTTTTGTATTTTCAAGGTCTGATCCAGAATTTGAACTCACGACCACGATCTTTAACGTTTTGGTTTTTCTGTTCTCCGACACTCTTTAGGTGCCTGTTTTATTCTCGTTGTCCTCGCTTTTATCCACTGGATCATTGTCCGTAGTACAGTGAAAACAGCGCTCTAAACCTTATGCTTGTTCTTTCCTTATCGTTTCTCTACTTGGCCTGCTGAGTGCGTTCTTAAAACATAACATGTATGCTGATACTTTCAGCCGTCTTATTTTCCTGTATTGTACTAAATCTATTAGTCTAACTTCATTCCACAGATATAATCATGATAATTCTTGGTATCAGAAATTAGGTGAATTTTTTTTTTTTTAAAGGGTTTTGAAAATTATAAATATGCAAAAGAAAGTTCAAATGAGGAATGATAGAAAGATTGTGCTGTGCCATTGTTTCAAATGAGATCTGCATACCTCGAAAATCATTCTTCTAAATTCTGGCTTTTTAATTGACTTCCAATGCTAACTACTGGCATTGATGAGAAAGACAGCAACCACCTTAGCCACCGAGCAGATTTTTTTGTTTGCTGTTTATACGGGGTCGTGAAACATGATTTTTCCTCTTTTTTTTTCTCGACATCACTGGAATTTTCTTCGTCTCTTTCTTTCTCCAATTTTTCTTCTTCCCACCCCCACTACTATATCTGCTTCTTTTTGTCCCTTCTTTTTTGTGATCTTACTATTTTCCATTCTCACCCTTCGTGTCGAATAAAGCCTATGTCAGTTATTATCTATCTCTATCTGTTTGTCGATAAACAAATTCTGTTCTGTTTAATATACATGGAAAATAAAAAAATAAAAAAAAAAAACATTTTTCAGTGAGTCCGATAAAGAATTTGTGTATTTTTTCCTGACATTTATGAACAGTGTTCGATATCAGATAACAGCTAGATTCTTGGAGGCTGATTTTCAAGAAATGAACACTTGAAAGATTTTATGAAAGGTTTTCTTCATACCCTCATTTGGCCTTGTGCTAAACTGAGTTTGGTAAAAGATACAAGTATAACAAAGTTGATTCTCATAATCAAATCTCATGTGCTGTTGTCGGTTTCCTAGGAACTGACCTGCTTGGCCCTCATGCGTCGAATTCGATGAGAGAGTCGAGTATTACATTGAGCTTCGAGTTTTGTTGGTGTAGTTGGTTTTCATCCGACCAACTTTAAAGCCGAAGAGTTTTTTGGTCTTAGCAAATAGGACGTTGCATATTGAAATGCCACCATCGGATGAGCGATCAGAGACGCCTTCTCCGCATTCTGACAAGCTGCACCGATGTCCATGTTGACTCTCTCAATCCACTGTGGAGTCAGCACACAAAACCTTGCTTGACTCCTTGGCGATTAGGAAATGATTTGGGGAAGGGCTTCGCAGTAAGCAAGGCTCTTTTATACTCTAACGAACACACATCCCCCACTTCACTCTTTTTCTAGAGAACCCATATCGGCTCTGTTTCGTATCAGAAACGTACAAAGTTTTGCTTACTGCGAAGTCCTTTGTGTTTGAGAGGATGCACATCGGTTCAAAAAGTAGTTTCCCCTACAAAGAAGGACGCAGGTTCGATTCCTTCTGGCGGACACAGATTCACGACTTAGAATTCTCGAAAGCGCAAGCTGATAGATGTATTACACAGTTTAATAGATAAAAATTGGGTGTCTATTCCAAATAAGAAATGTCCACTATAATAACGTTTGAAGTAATAAAAATGCCGGAATAAAATAAATTCATTAATATTTTACGTCGGCATTGGCACATCTGCCCAGAACCAGGCTCTGTGCTATCTTAGGAATGTCAAGTTAATTTTATAATTCTGTTCAAGCAGCAGAACGATGATGTAATGAGTTTGTTATTTACTTGTTTAACTCTAGGTTGGGTGTTCGAATCTGGGCAGGATTCACTTGTTAATAAAAAAAATATGTTTGCATTAGCGCCGCAGAAATGACGGACAGAGAAATACAGAAAAATGGAGAAAGTTACACTGTTTATTATTATAGATGTTGAATGTCCAAATTGATACAATAGATAATATAGAAATAATATGATGTGCTTTGAAAGTCTGTTGAGTCTCAGGTGGAACCCGTACATACGATCCGTTGCTAAGGATGCAAGAAAAATGGTCAGCTTCCTGCTATCCTCTACCTTTACAAGAGCCAGATCAGGTCAAAAGTGGAGTACTGTTGTCATATTTGGTCGGGAACTGCCCAGACCTCACTCTCCAGCCTTGATAGAGTCCAAAAGCGTCACCGAGCCCGTGTGGGATTCTTCTTCTTCTTCTTCTTGTTCTTGTTCTTGTTCTTGTTCTTGTTCTTGTTCTTGTTCTTCTTCTTGTTGTTCTTCTTGTTCTTGTTCTTCTTCTTGTTCTTGTTCTTCTTCTTCTTCTTGTTCTTGTTCTTCTTCTTGTTCTTGTTCTTGTTCTTCTTCTTCTTCTTCTTGTTCTTCTTCTTCTTGTTCTTCTTGTTCTTCTTCTTCTTCTTGTTCTTCTTCTTGTTCTTCTTGTTCTTCTTCTTGTTCTTGTTGTTGTTCTTCTTCTTGTTGTTCTTGTTCTTGTTGTTCTTGTTCTTCTTGTTGTTCTTGTTCTTCTTGTTGTTCTTGTTCTTCTTCTTCTTGTTGTTCTTGTTCTTCTTCTTCTTGTTGTTCTTGTTCTTCTTGTTCTTGTTGTTCTTGTTCTTCTTGTTCTTGTTCTTCTTGTTCTTGTTGTTCTTCTTGTTCTTGTTCTTCTTGTTCTTGTTGTTCTTGTTCTTGTTCTTCTTGTTCTTGTTCTTCTTGTTCTTGTTGTTCTTGTTCTTGTTGTTCTTGTTGTTCTTCTTCTTCTTGTTCTTGTTCTTCTTCTTCTTGTTGTTCTTGTTCTTGTTGTTCTTGTTGTTCTTGTTCTTCTTCTTGTTCTTGTTCTTCTTGTTCTTGTTGTTCTTGTTCTTCTTGTTGTTCTTGTTCTTGTTCTTCTTGTTCTTGTTCTTGTTCTTGTTCTTGTTCTTCTTGTTGTTCTTGTTCTTGTTCTTCTTCTTGTTCTTCTTCTTGTTCTTCTTCTTCTTGTTGTTCTTGTTCTTCTTCTTCTTCTTGTTCTTGTTCTTGTTCTTCTTCTTGTTGTTCTTGTTCTTCTTCTTCTTGTTCTTCTTCTTCTTGTTCTTCTTCTTCTTCTTGTTGTTGTTGTTCTTCTTCTTCTTCTTCTTGTTGTTCTTGTTCTTCTTCTTCTTGTTGTTCTTGTTCTTCTTCTTCTTCTTCTTCTTCTTGTGGTCGGACGAACTACATTCCCTGGTCCCGCCGAGGCAAACCTTCACGGCTAGGACACGCCACGCGACTTACATTGTAGCAAACTACCAACATTGCCTCTATATTCCATCGGTAAGAAGTTCCACACTGATATCTTCTTCCAGCGAACCACTGCTCCCAAGAGGATGTTCCCTCGATCACTACAACCTTAACCTGTTCAAGACGAGGTTAATCCCTATTTTCCAATCCTATCCGCACAAATTGCGTCCTAACGTAACCCTCTACATCGAGTGGCTCCCGGGCATTGTAAAGGGTGAACCTTACTGTAAAGGAAAAATGATATTATCTATAGATTAATTGATTTGTTTTCTATGACTTATTACCCCCTTTTGCAGGTTATTTAAAACCAGATATTTTTAGATTGTGAGAATTTGGGGAGGGGAGATGATGATTGTTTAGTGATACAAATCTTACTAATCAATTTGAACGTAATTGAATATAACGAACCCAACTGGAATTAGAACTCGGCTCTCCGATTAACAATTCCGAGTCATTATCCATTACACCGTCCGCACATCCAAGCTTATAAACACCTGGTAACACCAAGCGGTCACTCATTTAGTTACTGACCAGGCTCAACGTTGCTTGAGCTATATAGATAATATAGCTAATGATAAATAATGTCGGCAATTTTTGATGTCAGAATTTCTTTTGAAGATCACTGAAAAGATCTGTTATTTTTAATTTCCTCTTTTTTCACAAGATGGAGTCTTGCTGCCATGTCTGGGCTGAAGCTGTTCAATACTCACTTTCTAGCCTTGATAGAGTTCGAAATCGCTTATGTGGTCTTTTCCCCTCTCCAGCCTCTTTGCTAAAGAGTTAACTTTGTCAGCCTATCGCTTTTCTTCGCTATTTCCATGGTAAATGTTCGGATGAAATCCACTCTTTAATACCACCGGTTCAGATCTGTATAGCTTTTAATCGTTGTGCTACTTTCACGGAGACGAATCGCCAATATTCCCCCCCCCCAAATTCCATTCATAGAAAAGGGAGTTCTAGACAGACAAATTCACCTCGAGAACCGCTGCTTTGTTGAAGAAACGCGATAATGCTTCCCTGAACACTACCCTTTTAACACTTTTAAGTTAAGGGTCAATTTTTATTTCTCTACCTTATCCTCATAATGTTCATTTTCATCTTCTTCTTGCGTCCATATTACATATCTCGTTGATTAAACCTCTACCATGAGTGACTCTTGTGCCTTGCATTGGCTGAACCTTGTAAAAAGGGGGGGATTAAATTAAAATTTATGTGTGGAGCATCTGCATGAATGCAGATAGTGTAATATGTAGATAAATATAGGTTTAAAGTATATATATATATATATATATATATATGTGTGTGTGATGTAATGGAATAACCAGTCACCCCATGAATGATTACACTATAGGTAGTAAATACCTATAAAGTCAACTTGTCTACGAGAGACTCAAAAAAAGAGTGAGAGCAAGATGATGCAATCACGTCCAACCTTCCAATTAGTGGCATTCACTACTAGATTGACCTTTGTGTATAACTATACCGTATTTCATATTGTACTGGTTGTGTACAATAAACCTTTCTTCTATTATCCACCTGGTGTTAAGTATTTATTCCCTTAGCACGGAATATAACAGTAAGATTGGGAAATGTATAAGAAAGTGGAAAAAAAGATTGTGACACGTTTCGTCCTTCAGGACTTATTCGGACTAAATTTCTTATATTGATGCGACTACACATGCGCACGAACGAGGGATGCTGGGAATTTTAAATTTATTTTTTTATTTTATTCTAGCCGATTTCATATAGATTCCTTTCTTTTTCTTTCTATAAGAATAAGATATAGATAAATAATATAGTATATAATAGCAGCTGTATAAAGGAAGATATAGCATAGATATAAAGTTGATAAATTATATGCAGTTATATTCAAGTTAATGAAAGTTTAAGAAATTTAACGGCAATTTTCGTTAATTTTTAGCGCCACGCTAATTCGTTTAAACAAGAAAAGGAACGTCATTAAGGAAAAAAGGACATAACACTGTAACATAGTCTCTTGACGCATTAGCATGCACACATTAAGATGCATGTGAGTTTGTAGATGAAAAAAAGAAGGGTCAAGGACGATTAGAGAGAAAGGAAGAGCGAAAATGAGAGTATATGTTGCCTATAAGTCCATGTATATATCCATGTATATGAAATCATCTACAGGATGCTGATAAAAAAAATTTATTAATCGAGAAATTACAACAACTCGAATTGGTCCATCCCAGTGGCTCTCTAAAAACCCAGATCTGAATGTTGGGGATGACTGTATCTGGAGTATACTCCTAGGTCATTACAAAACCGACGTCGTGACTTCGTCGATATTGATTTATTGAAATCGAACTTAACTGAAGCTTGGAATGAAATTCCTCTTGACACTATCCACAAAGCTACTGCCTCCTGGTTACGAAGCTTACAACATCCAGGAAAACATTTTGAACATCTACGATGATTGTTCGGTTTGTGCATGAATCGTGATAGCTAAATAAATTTCTTTCTGAATTTACTGTCTTTTTTTTTTATTTTTTATTTTTTTACTGGGCATCCTGTATATTTGTGAGAACGTTCTTTACGACCACTTTGTAAACCTTTGTTTGTTCTAAAGTTGGTATGAGAAAGAGAGGTTTGGTAGACAGCGTGAAACCCTGGCGAACGTGTGGACTAAAAAAAAAAAGACTTCTAGGAAAGAAACATACTAAATAGGAAGTCGGGGGAAGGAGAAGGGGATGAAAACAAAGAAAAAAAAAGAGATAGCCAAGAAGATAAGAAAAGCTGGGAAGGAAGTTTGAAAAAATAGATCAGCAAATGAAGAAGAAAGAAAAATTAAAAATGGTGCCAAGAAAAATGGCATGAACAAAAGCAAGAATTTGGATGGAAAGCGAAGAGACAGCTGCGACGGGATGTCTCTGTGACCCCCCAAAATGTTTGTCTGTTTTTAACTTTTACATCCGTTCCTCTCGCCCCAACCTGTTACTTCCACCCGTCCGCTTCCTTCTTTCTACCTCTCTCTCTCACCCCCAATGATTCTTATTTCACTCAGGCCTCAACCAAACTTTCTCCGCTTTCACACAACATTTTTACTCAAGGCGAAGAGGTCAGGGCGAGCCAAGGAGAGAAACCTTTGAACAAGAAGTGTGTGAATTCTCTTTATAAAAGACGCATATGCGCACACACACACACACACACACACACACACAGAGAGCAGCAGCAGAATTGAGGCGATGGGTCGGAGATGAGTAGTGGGGGGGGGGTATTCTTCATCTGATTTGTACATTTTAAGAAACATAAACGACTTATTTTCATTTGACCGCAGTGAATTTTAGGCCATTGCAATTTCCGATAAAATCTTCCAGTCTTTATGACTACCTTTCTCTCTCTTTATTATACTCTGTATCTCTTTCTCTCTCTTTCTCACTGTCCTTTTTTTTTTTTTTTTTTTTTTTTTTTTTTGCTTTCTCTCTCCTACTCTTTGCCTTTTTTGCTTTTTCTCTCTTCCACACTTTTTGCTTTCTCTCTCTCACTTTTTTCCTTTTTCTCTTATTCTTTTTCTTTTCTCCCCCTCTTTTCCTTCCAATTTCACTCTCTCTCTCTCTCTCTCGGCCTTTTCCTTCTCACCCGTGGCTTTTCCTTTCTCTCTATTTCTCTCTGCCTTTTTACTTTTCTCTCTCTCTCTCTCTTGCATTCTTTCTGTCTTTTTAGCATTCTTTCTCTCTCTGTCCCTCTCTGTTTGCCTTCTCGCTTTCTCTTCTTATTTCTCTCTCTGTGCAAATGCATATTCAGATTTCAGTTTCACACATTCAGTCCGCTGTTAAAACTTTTCCCAAATATTAAAATTTTTGTACTTATTAGATTTTGATATCTCCGATTTGTATGTTTCATTTTGGGCTCATCCTTTTGGCAACAATCATGCATTCTGTCTGTTAATCTTTAATTCTTTTTTTTTTTTTTTTTTTTTCGCTTTCCTTAACTACCTTCTGTAGAAGATTTTGTAGTTTCCTTTCTGTGTCTGCTATCAGCGCTGTGTCATCTGCATATCTTATATTGTTAAGATTATGGCCGCCAATAATGAATCTTGGTAGGACTTCTAATTCTCTCAGAATCACCTCTCTGTATAGGTTGAATAAATCCGGCGAGAAGACACATCCTTGTCTTACACCCTTTTCTATTTATGTATATTTACTGAATTTATTTTCTATCCCTATACAGGCGTTTTTCTGCCAGTACAGGTTCTTCATTATTCCAATATCCTTCACGAATATATCAAGATGTCAAGGTTGCTAAGTAGCTCCAACAGATCTTTGTAGCGTACCTTATCGAACGCCTTTGTGTAATCTATAAAACACAGGTACATGTCCTTCTGCATATGTATTGCTCTTTCTGACAACATTCCTGTTCCTTTTTTCACACATTCTGACAACATTCATGTTCCTTTTTTCACTTTGTTTGACGAACCCGCACTATTCTTGTCCTATCTCCGGCCAGATTCTGCTGCGTACACTATTCATCTGAATTCGGATTTTTTTATATGGCTCATTACGCTGATTGTCAGATGGAGTTCACATTCGTTTGCACCTGGCAGTGCTATGACAAAAGATCCACTAATATCGCCACTGTTGTAGATTTCATTTATTATTTCTGTAATCTTGTCATTGCCGAAATCGTCTAATCTGCCAGCATCGCTATTACAATTCTGCCTGGCTTTACCGCTTCGTTTCTGTTTAATTTGGCCAATTTAGATTTCGTTTTAAGTTGATGTGCCGATTAAATCATAATACGAGACTTGAATCAATAACTTAACATTTTATTCACTCCAATATATCGTCACTTACTCTCGGCCACTTTGTAGAGCCTTGAACGAAACGTGGTCCTTACATTCTCCGCCTGAGATGTATGAGAGACTATTTAGTGCTGTTGTTTATACTTCCATTTGTCCAACATTCTCACAGTTGCAATACAGGATGCAAATGTGAAGTCATGTACTTCTGGATTCGGTGTCCGAAAGCAAACCCTGGTTAACATTGTATCTGGCTGGCTTTTAAGGGGGAGGGTGTTGAAATATAATGGCGATGTCCATTCCGACATAATGCCACGCATAAGTAGAAAAAGTAGAAAGTCATCATTGATCGATCGTTGATGAAAGGATTTTTATTGGGAGTCAATCTATTATTTCTTTCTTGTTTACAACTGCATTCAGACAATTACTACCTGACTTTCGTACGTATCTTGGTCATCCACAGCGACTTCAGCTAGCTACGCGGCCACTTGAAGAAATAATTCATATTTTAATAAATAATGATTTCAAAGTGCAATTAAGATTTGCTGTAACCTGCTTCCTGGCTGAAAAAGATGAAAATTCTCAACTAAATAATGAAAAAAAGTTAGGTATGTTGAGGTTGAGAATAACCTCACATTATCCGTCACATAACTTTTATTATAGTCTATTGTTAGAATTGTTGTCTTTTATTATTAGTTATTACTGTTAATCTCTTATTGGGCCTAATAAGATCTACGTTAAAAACGAATCTACATTTCTTCACATATCTTTTATTCTAAGTCTATTGTGATCTTTGTTCTATTTTATGAGTAATTATTACAATACGTTTATTGAACCGTTGCTTCTATGTGCGGTGTCCTTTCAGGACTCTGCCGATCACGGCTCTCCACAATTTTCTGTCCTTTGTAACCCTTTATAAATTTTGTCTTTTTGTTATCTCACCTAAACCCTGTTCTGCCAACCAATTACTCCAGCTCATTTGGTTCCTTTCATTGCAAAATTGTTGCTATCAATCTGTTATGTGAGTATCATGTTTTCCAAGCCCCCTTTCCTCATTATCTGCACTAGAAATTTCAACTGCCTCTTTTTGATATTATATATAAGTGTAACTATTCACTGCCTCAAGAAATTTCTAAAGTTCTTTCATAAATCTAGCTTCGTACCTGGCTGTATTAGACTTTTAATGTTGGGTGTAACACGCTAACGACAGGGACAATATTAATTTGACTTCTTTGTTTCTCTTCTTTCCACAATACAAATTAGTTGTAAGAAAGCTGTTTTTGTAAATTTATGGGGTAAAGTCATGGTTTTTGGTCATTTATCCGTGTCATCTCCCATACCAAATATCTATTTTAAATTAATCTTTACCTTCTGGCACTTCAGGAGTTGGCCTCTTCTGACTCAACAATTGTCTGGTCATTGTAGGACGATGTGATGTCAATGAACACTTATTACTAATATTTCAATGAAATATTCCGAATTCTGGATGACAAGAATAGTGTTGCGGGAATGGAAATATTATCATTTTATGCCTCCTGGTACATTTGTCCCGCAAACAATACTTGGCAGACTCATATGAGTCCAGGTAAAAAAAAGTTCTTTAGTATTTTTGTTATTTTTGAAACATGAGAACTCTTATGTAGCGATGGAATCATATTTTTAAATAAATAATTATATACACACTGTTATAAGCTTCATATGATTGCATTAATTTCGTGTGAAAATAAAGACAAACATTGTCCAGCCTTTGGATATTTTTTTATTATCTTGATCTAAGCTTTCGGCTCACATGAGCCATCTTCAGAGTAGTTATGCGTAGATTTAAACAAAGATATCGTAATCGCATCGTAATCTTCTATCTCAATAGAATATTATCTTTGATGGTGAATCTTTGTTTAAATGTCCAACATTTTATGCGAAAATCTATTAATTTAAAAAAAAAAAACCCAAAAAACCCCTTCCTTTTCAAAATCCGCGAATCCCGCTGGAGTCCGAAGACGGCCCCAGTCCCGGGCCCATTTGCTCTCTGCGGTTTTGCCTAAATGTGATTTGTTCAGTCTCTGTATGACGCTCCGAATTTGGAAAATGATAGATCTACTTTGTCTTTTCCCCAATTTACGGATGTTTAAAATATTTGCCTTGTGTTTGTCTGCCATTTTGAACAATTGCTTTGGAGAAGGAAATAAGAGACAGTGGGGAAAATGACGCTATTTGTTTACAGAAGATCATGGACACTCTAAATCCAATTATATGATTGCTAGGAGTCAACCATTTACTCTGACACTATCAGATATCCTCCCCACGAAGATACTTAGAAAATGTTTTCTAAGCAGATGGAATACTAAAGATACCAGTGACTCTGTTTAAGGGAAAGGCTTTAGTCAAAGTGATTGATTAAAAATAATTGGGGGGAAAAAATTCTCTGGCTAACAGGAAATAAAATGATCGGCAGATGGTGAGGATTCTTGGTCTATCCTTATGCTTCAACCATTATTTATCTGACGTCACAACTGCTATAGTCATTAAACAGAATTTGAATTTTCAAATTATTTTCTACTAGATTTTTTTTTTACATCACGCTAACGTGTGTTGAAATTCTCACAGGATTTAGTATTGTTGAAGTTATCGCTAACATTTATAGTCGAGATTTAAAAACTCTACTTTTCGTTCAATTTCGCAAACCAATCGATAAAATTTAAATAAACTGATTTGTTTGGAAAAATACTTTGACAAAAATCCGTTTGTGGTTTTTACGCGCTCTAGTAAAACCAAGTGCATTTTGTAACTTTTCAAATTTTAAATTTAGCATCCCTAAACCTTCAGCGTTTTCTCATGGTGCATCATTATAATCGAAGTTTTCATACATATTTTCCCACCTTCCCTATATATATATATTCCTTTGAGCAACGAATATATATATATATATATATATATATATATATATATATTCCTTTGAGCAACGAAATGCATTTCATTATTTTTTTTCCATCTTGTCATTCGATTATTCAACATTTTTAACACTTTAAGTGAGATGTTCAGAGGATGCAAGATTTTTTAACAAAGATTTTTGACACACGCTGTCTCGTCTTGAAATCCTCACAGTATTTAGTATTGTTGAAGTTCTCGCTAACATTTTTGTCGTGATTTACAAACTCCACATTTCGTTCAATTTCGCAAACCAATCTATGAAATTTGAATAGGCTAATTTGTTTGGAAAATACTTTGACAAAAATCTTACTTCGCGGTTTACTAATTTCTTTAATTTAATTTTATAGGACTTCATGGTAAACAATTTTTTAAAATTTGGTTTCGATTGGTCAATATATGGCTATTTTAGAGGGGGTGACGGACGGACTAATGGAAGTCACAGAATTTTATATATAAATAAAAGCTTTCTAAAATTTGTTAAAAAATTTCCTTCTCTGAAATTTTCCTTCTGTATTTGTATGGAAAGGATTTTTGGGGGTCACATCTGTGAGTCGCTGTTTTAGGAGAGTGAAATAAAATGTCCGGAGTCAGAAAACAAAAACCAACAATAATTTTACAAAATTCGTCTTTTCTTTGATTTTTGTGAGTCGGCATTTTGTTTTTGTCCACTCTTTGACGGCCAAATATCTTAATATTTGATGTTTGTACGGGGGTGGGGGTACTGAAACTTTCTGACCCTCTTTCCGAGATAGATAGTTCAATGACCAAAGAGCAGAAAATTGGTTTGAGGAAGTCACTTAGGATGAGGATTCTTTCACATGAGGTCCTTTGATAAAATAAAACTATCAAAATTATGAGAGTGTTGAAATTTCAACGATTTATATATATATATATATATATATATATATATATATATATATATATATATTAAGAAATGGACAAAGTCCGACAATTTATTTATTAAAGACATTTTTATGTTTAACGTTCTTTTTTATAGATACAATATATGACGTCATTTGTTTACATTTGATACGCCAGAGCAGTTATGAATGTACGAGATTCATGGAAGATTGAAGTTTATAAGCAGTAAATTCGACCTTGTCTACCGAAAGCTCCTTTGTGGCTGGTCGGTAAGGCACGTCAGCGTAAATGACGGTTCCGTATAGGATGCAGGTTCGAATCCTGTCAAAGGACGAATATTTTCTATGAAAATTTCTCGGACATTCAGGCCGGTAAATGTTATTTAATACTGTTTATTATAAACAGAGCATTTACTTAAATACTTGTATCTATAAAAAAAGAACGTTAAACATAAAAATGTCTTTAATAAATATATATATATATATATATATATATATAGAATGGATGTCCAAATTTACTTCCTTCAAATAGCTATTTCAACCAACAGGTGTCATGTTGGCATTGTCAATGTATATTTTAAAGAGAAGAGAGAATTCGCAAACGGAGAATACAGGGGTCATAAAAACATAACAACAAAGACCCCCTTCCTTCGACCAATCCTGATTGTGTTATTACCCCTTAAGAAGAAGAATATTTTCGCCACAAGTCCAAGAAAAAGATTACTTTTACACACAAAAGACAATGCCTGAACATCGAAAACATAAAGAAAATTAATTCCTTTTAATAATATACGGAAATAACCACTCTTTGCCTGATGAAGGTCGCGAAACTGGAAACGCATGTAGCAAAAATATGGAAAATAAAGTATAATATATACAGTGTAACCCGGATATAAGAGAGTTGTCGGGAACGGAGAAGAAGTCTCTTATATCCGGGTTTCTCTTACATCCGGGTTTGGTCTATTGTATACATTAACACGGTCTAATTTGGGACCAGAGAAAATCTCTCTTATATCCGGGTTACACTGTATTTAAAAAATCCACATTATAAACAAAAACGTTTGCGGCGTCTCTCTTCTCTTTAAAAATATATATTGACAATATATATTTATATATTATATATATATATATATATATATATATATATATATATATATATATAAAATAGGAAATCCAAATTTCCTTCATTCAAATAGCTATTTCAACCAACAGGTCCTATAGCAGTGTCATAGTTCTGAAGTAACACAGCACATAAAAGATCAGTCTGTGATATTAAACTTGTTAACCATTACACCAGTTAGGCTCTTACTAAGAAAGGAAGAGACAACTGTCGCTAATGAAATTAACAGAAACTAAAGGAATGCTTTAGTTTACGAAAAAGCAAATTTAATCGGAAATAGAGAGTAAAAAAAAAATGAAAAGTTTAGACTTGATATTGAGCATAAGCGTCGAATGCTGTGAGGGTGCAAGGCGCGTATCAAGACTGTGATAGCGATTATATACTTAGCCCCCCCCCCATCTGAAAAAGAGACTCAGAGAGACAGAAATGTTGAGATGGGTGTGTGGTGAGACAGACACACAAGTCGACGAGGTAATATTGTTAGTTTATGTCTAAAGAAGGTTTCAGTACTGAAACAAGATAAAAGTGCTTTTAGCTACAAAACGAAAATAGTTTTATATTTGAACGGTGACAAAAACACTGTAAATGTTAAATGGAATTAATAAATAAAAAGTCGTTCTAAAAAATATCAGAAAGAGAGAGAATAATACAAAGAATTGGAGAGGGTGCCTCTGTTGCTGTCAGCTTAAGAGGGAACAAAAAAGTACAATTCATCCCCACTCTCCAATCAACTTATGGTCATGTTTACCTGCCCCGCCCTATGTCAACGTGGAAATCAGGCTTCAGTCGACAATAGGAATTTCCATTCGCTGTTTTGGTCAGTCCCCTTCCATCACTATTGGAATCCTTGGTTTGATATTAGAAAAAAAAACACTTTCCGACAGCTGGTGATGCATGGGTTGATTTATGTCTTCAACATACATGCTTAGGATTGACATTTATATTGACTTCGCCATTGTTTTAAATGATTTTGTTTCTGAAAGGACAGACTAATATATCAACTTAACTAACCTACATATTTCTTTCTCTTTTTTTACCACTTTCTTTAGTTCTCTTTCTTTAGCTCTTTCTCTATCTTTCTCTCATTTTCTCTCTCTTTCTCATTTTTTTTTCGATTGGCGTCAAAGTATTTTCATTCGTGATTCGCCCTTTTTATTCAACAATGTTTTCGTTGACGTCTTTTATTTCGTATTTTTATCTGCGGACACGGTAGTGTGCAGACATTAGGATATACCAGGAAATGTATTGTAGACAGACAAGTACTATTGTTTATTTATGAATGGGAAGTCAATGTGTACACACAGTTTGCGAACACTAAAAATTCTTTATTTACAGATGAATCCAGCATCAATCTTATGAAAGATAAAGGCACCCGAATTTATGAAATCGTTTTTTTCTCACACGACTTCAGTAGATTGTTTAACATTTATCAGATTTTGATTTTTTTTTTTTTTTTTTTTACAATTAAGATCGCAAATATAAATGATTCCTAAATAAAGGAAATCTAATTATTCACACACACACACACACACACACACACAATATACCAGATAAAAACAAAAACAAATCTTCCATCTGCTTGTACGGCACAGTCATTTGCAAGAATTCAAAACACAAGCATTTGTTTTGCACGCATTTAGTTTAGAGCTGCATCTCTCTCTCTCTCTCTTTCCTCCCTCTCTCTCTTTCCTCCCTCTCTCTCTTTCCTCCCCCTCTCTCTTTCCTCCCCCTCTCTCTCTTTCCTTCCCCCCCTCTCTCTCCTTCCCCCCTCTCTCTCCTTCCCCCTCTCTCTCTCCTTCCCCTCTCTCTCTCCTTCCCCCTCTCTCTCTCCTTCCCCCTCTCTCTCTCTCCTTCCCATCTCTCCTTCTTTACTGCAAAAAGCATAAACAGTCACAAAATACAGACACTCGCACGTTGTAAATATGTTACTCTCCATTCTATCAAACGCGTAAGATTTAGTCGAAAAGAAGAATCCTTTTTTTTTTTTTTTTTAATCCTCATCAAGAATCATCATTCTTATGGAACCAGGATCCTAGTTTTCTTCACTTTGGACTACAATTCTACATTCTACGAATTCATTTTCAAGAGAAACTTCATCCTCAAAATGACATCAGAAAAATGCAACGTCATGGTAAGTTTTTTTTTTTTTTTTTTGCGCAATAATTAATGACCATGATGACTGAATAGTGATTTCAATCTTCACTCTCTCCATATCACACATGCATCTCCCGCCTTGTGTATCTTCAATTTAATTAATTACATTCCTTATATTCTACGGTCCTTTAAACAGTCTAACATGTTGATTTCTGGGAGTTTCTTTTTGTATATCGGTGTCATGTTATGATAGACGTCAAAAAGAAAAAAAAAAACAAAGACTGCATCATTTTGTACTTTTTAGAACCTGTTCGACAACGAGTAGAATTTTAATATTTCTTTGGGTTCCATAAGGATAAAATTATTTTCAAAAGGTGTTCCATAGAATTTCTTTACATTTTCTCATTGAATTTCTCAATACAATATATATAAGCACAGATTCGTCTGACACGAGGCAAAATAAAAAGAAATTGGAATAAGAAGTTTGTGTTGCGCCAATGAAGACTTAACTCGAAAATCAATATTAAAAATCTTATTTTTATTTTATCCTAAGTCTAAACACTGGAATCGGGAGTAAATCTGAAATAATCTCAACCACCGGGTACAATATTTAGTGGAAATCTCTACGCATAATAAATGTTACCATTCATATATCTTCCATACGCTAAAAATTATTATAGGACATTTTGTGGTCAGAATAATATATACTAAAAAAATTTAGTAGGGTTATTTTAAAGAAAAAGCTGTTTTTGTTTTTTGTATTTCTGTAAAATATTTTTCAAAATATCCTTTCTGTTGTCGTATTTTGCTATTACAGAAATCATTTTGTTTCTCTTCAAACATTAAATGATGAATAATTATATAATTTCACTTGAATCATTATGCTTCGTGTTTTTCGTCTTTTGCTGAAATTGTCGATGAATAATAAAAACAATATGCTTTTCTCTTTCTCTCTCAACATAACTACTTGTGTAACGATTCTCTGAATTTCTGGGATGAGTTGTCATTATTTGCATTATTTATATTCGGACTATTGTCCTCATCTTTGTTGTTGTTATTAGCTGATCGTCTTCTGTTTGAATTTATGGGATGAGGAGTTATTATTATTTAAACTCTTTACATTGGGACTATTGTCCTCATCTTCCTCGATTGCATATAGACCTGGGTAACTTACAGGGAATTCCGAACTGGACCCTTTATTTAATCTACGGGTGTAAAACTGTTCATGTCTAGGGCTATTGTCTAGCTCTTATTTTATTTAAGACTCTTCAGTTATTGCTCCACCGTTTCCATTCCACACTACCCGACCCCGAGGTTGAACTTTATAACCACTGTCACTAAATTCCCAAAAGTTTTACCCACTAGGATAATTGTTAGATTAAACTTAGTGTTTAAAGGGTTAGATTTAAAGCTCCAAGTTAACCCCAGCAATTGTCCTACAGCAATGACTTAGTCGAATGGGAACAGGTTGCCGACGTAAAATAAAGAAAGGGTTCCGTTCGGAAGTCCCAGATTGATATACACCTGAGAAATGCCGGAGAGCACATCGGCCGAAACGTTGTGGTAAAAGCAAGAAAGGACAATAGTCCGGATGTACATCGTGTAAACAATTGTGCAACATTGTCTAAAAAGTTATAGAGAGCGACAATCACTCGATAATTATCGAATACACCTGAGGAAGGCTAAAGTACACATCGGCCAAAACGTTATAATCCAAACAAAATGGAATATCAGTTATCGTTTCTGTCTGAACATCTGACGTTATCATTCCTTAAATTCGGATTAATGTCCTAATCTTTGTTATTACTACAACGTTTCGGTTGTTGTATCCACCTGCCTCCATCAGATGCTTCTCAATCTGGGTAACCTTCAGGGAATTTTGAACTGAACCCTTTATTTAATCTATGGGGATATATCTTTCTGGTTTTGCTGTTTATGTCTAGTTCTTATTCATTATTGTTCGTCTTGTTTTCAATGAATCTGAAACTATACTACTCGGCATAGGAATTGAACTCACAATTATTATGCAACCAAATTCATGAAGCAAGGCTTTAATTTTCCTAGGCTATTGTACTGTGGGACAATCCTGAAGCTAGAACTTGGAGCCTTAAACCCAATGTTCTTATTGCTTCTTTTGTTTCTACTACTGTAGCCTTGCTGTGAAGCTAGACTCCTTCCTCTGCCCCTTTCTCTTTTTTCTTTCTTAATAGCTATATTTTTATATATTTATTTCCATGCTCAGCCAACAGAAGCTACCGTCTTAGCCTACCGTACGCACTTCAGACATCTGATTATCCAGTGTTCTCAGTCTGTTATTTTTACTTCATTCCACAAGAGTTGATATGTAGCCTTTTCACTCTATACATGATCAGCTATCACTGATTTAGTTGTTTCGCCCTTAATTATGGCATTTCGATGCTCCTGCAGCCTTACTCATCTTATGTTTATGTTTATTATGAGATAAACATATTTCATCCCAGAATTACTGAAAGGGTGTCAGTAAGTACATAGTGATCAAAACAAAAAAGATAAGGACGCTAAGCGAAAGAATTCTTGAAATAATAATTATCATTTGCCTTAATTAAGAAAGGTTTTCTATTGCTCTTCACTTTTTAAGATTTTTACCTTGAAGCAGTCAAGTCCTCACTCCCTCAGCCCTAATAGTATTCAAAGTCGCTTATACGGCCTTGTGAGGGGAAGGCTTATCTTCCACCCTACAGTCTCTTTCCCCACAGACGCAACATCGCAAGCTTGCTGCCATTCTATAGCTATTTTTATGGCAAATGTTCAGATGAGCTCCAATCCTTAGTTTTAGTTTAGATCTTTACAGCTAAAACACGTTACGTCCACGTAGTCAAACCACTCTCGTTTCCCCCGTACTGTATTTGTAAAGAGAAAGCTCCACTCGGATGTCAGTTTTTACAACTGACACCTCGCATTTTTGTTACAATTTCTTCTATAACTCACATCGTACTTGTCAAAATGACAAGGTTGTGTATGGATCGGTCTTGCTAATTCGAATCAGTGTAGTATCTGTGTAATCTGCATTGGATCAAAGTATCGCTATCCGGCACTTCTGTCTAGATCAGTGTAGTATCTGTGCGCTCTGCCTTGTATCAAAGTGTCGCTCCTTGACACATCTGCCTAGATCAGTGCAGTATCTGTGCGCTCTGCCTTGTATCAAAGTGTTGCTCCCTGGCACATCTGCTTAGATCAGTGGAGTATCTGTGCGCTATATGAAAAGTGTTACACACACATACGTACATACACACACTTGCATTTTATATGTAGTTCTAAAAAATATACGCTGACGAGTCTCGTGTCATCGATTTTGACACCTCGACCATTTAAGTTGGAATGTCCTAATATTAAAATCTTTCTACGTCCCAATTCCATTTTAACCCATGACCTATGAGATCGTCGGGGACGGGTATGATAAGCAATTGCCCTTTTTACCGCATTTCTTTGGATAGTGGGAATCACTTGGTGGGGCATACATACATACGAGGGTTATCAGTCCGACTCACTTTCCAAAATCTGACCAAACGACCTAACACTAAGGGGGGTCTCTTCTTGGCAAGGTCGAGAACTTTTTAATACACCGTCGTATTCCTTTCTAGATAGTTACTATTTTCGATTTAAATATACAAAGCTAAGACCTCTAAGCTATCATTAGGTATTACTTTGAAAATCGTGAATATTATTCTTTCTATTATTGTTCCCTCCGTACAAAGCTCAAGAGCCACTTCAGGTAGAAGGTTACTGACGACAATTGTCGATCCTTGACTTAAAGAGGTTAAAAATTGTAGTGATCGAGGGAGCATCCTCTCATGAATTTGTTCCATTAAGTACATTCTTGGGAAGAAGCCCGTAGAGTGGAACTACCTCCTTAGCAATGGAATGAGAATGAGTCGACACTACGTAGCTTGATGGGTCCTAACTGTTAAAGTCTGAATTGGTTGGACAGAGGTATGTACCTCATTTTTCTAGTAAATGACTTTCGGAACCAGAGATAAGAATTTGACTATTTTTTTTCTTCGAGAAAAGAACATATTTAGAGGAAAATAGGGGAATACTTTTGTTTTAAAAACATGCACTGGTAAGACTTAAAGTTCTTACATTCAAAAATCGCATTTTGTACATGTCAGCTGCGTTTCAGTTTAGCAGAAATACAAGTTGATCTATAATTTTCAATGTATAAGACGCACAAGATTTGTGAATCTTTCTCTCATATTCTGAAAAGTCTACGAGCTGTAGTGATTTACTAAGTGTAGTTTAGATGTAGCAAAGGCTGAAAATATAGGGCACCTAGTGAGGATCGAATTCATTGCTCAGTCGTAATTGATCTAGCGAGACTAGATTGCTAACCATTGCACAACGTAATAGCGTCACGTAGTAGGAGGCACAGTAGAGTAATGGATAGAGGCTAGGATTGAGAAATCGGAGAGCCGAGTTCGAATTCGATATAAAATGCTTTATATGTCTATTTCTCCTTGGAAATATTGTAAATATTTTTTTTACCCGCCTCCTCGTCTTATGCTTTGTTTATCATCACTTGTTGTTTAGACATTATCGAAAAATTCTTTTAAATGGATTTATTTATCAATACACACCTGCATATATATATATATATATATATATATATATATATATATATATATACACATGTGTGTGTGTGTGTGTGAATGGAAATGGATTTGACAGTCTCAAGGGTAATGTAGGAATAGGAAAATATCTATCATCACCACTCAGATCAAATCTAATGATTTTATTACCACTTCTACCAAACGTT